GTATTAGTGTGTAACTTCGTGTTTTGCCCGCAAACGTACAAACAAGTTTGTCAAACATTCATTTTGTAATTATTTTCGTTGGGTGCAGTCATGTCGTCGTCGAAAGATTAGTGGCTTTTCGTGACAGCAGTTGTGTTAAAAAAATGGAAATGAAAAAGAAGATGTAGATGAAAAAGAGGTATGAACAGCGCAAAAGATTTACACATGAAAACCTTCTGAAGGAGCTGCGAATGAGTAGTGTTGATGACTACAGAAATTTTTTGAGGATATTTATTTTTAATATATTTATATTTTTAACATCTTCAACAGTACCATCGGGGTACTGATCCTTATAAAAATCAAGGAGTATATTATATTGTTTTTTCTTCTCATCCCTATTACTGTACGCGTCTGTCCGCACATTCCACAATGCATCAAGGCAATGGTACATTTCAATAAATTTTATTGCAAATTTTTTTCGTCCGCGCACTTACTATTCATGTTTACTCCTCAACGTTACAACACAAATGACATTTTGTTTGACAAACACTAATGGAGAATGTTTAATTTAGATTGGTAATTATTGTTTTGTAACGTTAACAATGGGTTAACGCATAATTAATTTGTAAATGATTAACCTCGTTTAGATCTGTCAACGTAAATGTAAACAGATTTCAACGAGTGGCCAATGGCGCCAAAGCCTCCACCTTCCTTCATGTTTTGATCATTGTTTTTGACACTCGTCTCTTCTATCGCTCGATACGAAGTCGCGCTCCCCCGCTATTGTGCAAATCGGGTAATCCGTCTGTCCATTATTATTTATTATTATTATTAATAAATACGACATTTGCCATTATTCTTAAAACTAAAACCCCCCTATTGTGTTTTTATTTATTTATTGGTTTGAGCTTTGCATATTTCCCCGCATTGGCGCAGACATTGGTCCATTCGTACCGGATTACGAAAGAGCTGTTGGTAAAAGAAGTAATCGCTTTCTTCTTTTTTCTTCTAATTGCAAAGCATAACATCATCATCACCATCTATACAGTCCACCACATCATCATCGTGTTTCTATCAAAAACAACCAGGTACGTACAGTGAAAAAAGTGCCGGTGAATTTAAATAAATAATTTTCTTGAAGAGAAAAGCAAAAAAAAAGAAACAAATTGTGTAAAAACAACAACAATCGCGTCGTTGATATTCTTTGTGGCCGTCTTACAACGCGTCGCTTACCCCGTCCCCTCCATCTAGTTTGCAAATATTGTTTCGCCGACGACAAATTGAAAATAAAGAAAAATCAAAATAATTGAAGAAAAGTGTATTTTTTGGAATTCCTGTTGAAAATAAAATATAGTAGTGCGGTGTCATTTTAATGTGCGTCAAATTCCCCATCGATTGGTATAATTGAAATTTTAAAATTGTTAAATTTTTTGCAAAATTGCATTTTTAATATTTAAAATATATTTCATAAATCACCCCCAAAAAATACACTTGCATTGGTTTTGTTGTAATTGGTTCAGCCATAAAAATCATACGGTTAATATCGTTGCTTAGTCGGTCAGCCGCTTTACATACACACGCATACATACATACGTTTGGTATTGTCTGTTGTGTTACAGGTGATCCTCGATAAACGCACTTAACATATTTTACAGGTGAACCTCGATAAACGGAACCAACATAAAATATTAAAATTTTTCAAATTTTATTTTTGATTATTATTAAATGATAATTGGGTGTTAGAAAACGACGTTTTTGGAAAAATTAATAACGCGTACACCCTACGATCGGTCAATACGACTTTTTTAAATAAAAAGTGTTAAAATTGATATTTTCGTTTGGAATTTCAAAATTTTAATTACCTTTGGAGATTTTAAATAAAATTTTTATTTTTTTTAAATTTATTTTTTGAGAATACGCTACATTTGGTAGTTTGATTGCCTAAATAGTAGGTTAACTGTGAAAATAAAAATAATAAAATCTCAATATTTTCCGTAGAAAATAATAAAAAATTGAATATTTTGAATAGTTTGTGCGCGAAAATACGTTTTTTTTGGAAATTACACAATTTAACAAATTTTTTATTATTTATTGATATTTCTTTGAATATATATTTGAAATTTTTATTATTTATTTGAACATTTTCACATATTTTTCATCGTATATTTGCATTTGGTTGCTAAATATCTCATCGGAGATTACAATTTTTGTGATTTTAGACCGGTTTTTTGATATTTCACTATTGTGTGAGAGGTTCAAGGGATTTATTTCTCGAGAATTTTCGATTTCTTTGGCCCTATAGTGCGGTTTTGTTAGATTTTCGGAAGCTTTTCGGTATTATTCTTGAACTTTGGAAAAACTCGGTTGATTTTTTGAATCTTTTCGAGTTTTTGTATAAACTTTTGTGTTTTCTTCGTATATTGTGCGAAGAAGAATCAGTAATTCGTGGATTTTGTACAAATTATCTGAGCAAATCGTGCTTTAGTCGTTCCCTTCTTGCTTTTTGTAGTACAGATTTCGGGAAATTTATTCACAATGTCATTCACCCCAATTGATATGTTCACTAGAACTTCAGATGCGGTCATCCAGTTTAATGTTCGTTTCAATACGATGCGTGATGACCAGCTCGATATTCATGCGCTGCAGTCTCATCTTAGTGCATTAGAAAAACTTTGGACGCAAGCACAGGACAAATTTGAAAAGTGCTGTGATTATATGATGTCGTCAGTAGAGACGACGAAAGAAGTTATCAATGCGGTTGATCAGAAATACAATTCGTCATTTCAAATCTATGTCGACTGCCAGTCCGCAATTAATAGAAAGCTAGGGCAATTCAAAAAATATCGTACTGCTTCGTTGATAGAAACGCCGGGCGAAACTTAAGCCAAGTCGCCTGTTTATGTAGAGTAATGGGGGAAAAGAAACAATAAGAAATAAAGCAAACAAATAGAATTAATTTCTTTTCTTGCAAAATTTGCTGGTTTATTGAATTGCTTTTGATGTGTTTTCGACAATAAGTATTACCTCTTTTCCATATGGATTGTGGCGACAGTGGCCGTGTTGGGTATTCGTTCAAAGACTAAAGACAAGTGAACGCAGAGGTTCTAGGTGATCGCAGAGGATCCCATGTCTGTCTACTAATACAACTACAACTACTTCCAATGAGAGCATGTGTAACAAGGTGAGGTTACCGACAACAACCAATGCCCAGCGACGATCCGCTCACTACGGTCTCCGCCAGGGGAGTTGTAGAGGAGATGCCTGTGCGCCAATCAGCATCCGTGATTGATCGAGCAAGGGAAGTTGAGGGGCAAAGTATCTAACTTATACATTGCCGCCCACCTTGATATACATGCATGTGTATCAACTAAATAAAGCTCAAAGGAATTATGTTATATAAATATGTACAATAAGATTTACAAGGACGTAAGTTCAGTTTATATGTGAGCAATTTCATTTTATTAAATTCAATTCAATTCATTTTTTTCTTAACTAATAACAGTTAATTACATGTTGACGGGGCCCGAAATTACCCAACCAAACGAGGTATATTGCGCTGTAGGCAGACCAGGCTGTTGAATTATTCTCGGCTTAATGATTTTATAATAAATTTCTGGACCCAATACCATCGCTACTGGACCCGAACAATCAAACGATGGGTCCGCGAGTTCCAGACCAACGAAGGCTTCGCGTACTGATGATGAAATGGTCATCGGTGGTGTTACACCGCAAGTAATGTTTGCTACGCTGGCAGTAACAAATTGCCTTTGACCCGGGTCAAAACGGGAGGTAATCATAAAGTCGGCGTACGACATATGATTGACTTTGGTGGTGGGCCATCGAAGGTCATTTATTAGAGACGCACACACCTGACTGACTGGGCAGCAGGGGTCTAATAAAGCCCTAACTGGAACGGTAGAGTTAGGCAGACATATATTCACACGTAAGGTAGGGCTCAAGGACAATACACGACTTATTGGTAGTACGGAAGTTGGTAATATGTGAGGTGGTGGTGTGGGAACGATACCTCGGGGAACTAACCATCTCGCCGAATTTTGTGTCCGGTTGGAGCTGTCCTCTTGGTGCTCATGAAAATAATAAAAAATTGAATATTTTGAATAGTTTGTGCGCGAAAATACGTTTTTTTTGGAAATTACACAATTTAACAAATTTTTTATTATTTATTGATATTTCTTTGAATATATATTTGAAATTTTTATTATTTATTTGAACATTTTCACATATTTTTCATCGTATATTTGCATTTGGTTGCTAAATATCTCATCGGAGATTACAATTTTTGTGATTTTAGACCGGTTTTTTGATATTTCACTATTGTGTGAGAGGTTCAAGGGATTTATTTCTCGAGAATTTTCGATTTCTTTGGCCCTATAGTGCGGTTTTGTTAGATTTTCGGAAGCTTTTCGGTATTATTCTTGAACTTTGGAAAAACTCGGTTGATTTTTTGAATCTTTTCGAGTTTTTGTATAAACTTTTGTGTTTTCTTCGTATATTGTGCGAAGAAGAATCAGTAATTCGTGGATTTTGTACAAATTATCTGAGCAAATCGTGCTTTAGTCGTTCCCTTCTTGCTTTTTGTAGTACAGATTTCGGGAAATTTATTCACAATGTCATTCACCCCAATTGATATGTTCACTAGAACTTCAGATGCGGTCATCCAGTTTAATGTTCGTTTCAATACGATGCGTGATGACCAGCTCGATATTCATGCGCTGCAGTCTCATCTTAGTGCATTAGAAAAACTTTGGACGCAAGCACAGGACAAATTTGAAAAGTGCTGTGATTATATGATGTCGTCAGTAGAGACGACGAAAGAAGTTATCAATGCGGTTGATCAGAAATACAATTCGTCATTTCAAATCTATGTCGACTGCCAGTCCGCAATTAATAGAAAGCTAGGGCAATTCAAAAAATATCGTACTGCTTCGTTGATAGAAACGCCGGGCGAAACTTCAGCTAAGTCGCCTGTTTATGTAGAGTAATGGGGGAAAAGAAACAATAAGAAATAAAGCAAACAAATAGAATTAATTTCTTTTCTTGCAAAATTTGCTGGTTTATTGAATTGCTTTTGATGTGTTTTCGACAATAAGTATTACCTCTTTTCCATATGGATTGTGGCGACAGTGGCCGTGTTGGGTATTCGTTCAAAGACTAAAGACAAGTGAACGCAGAGGTTCTAGGTGATCGCAGAGGATCCCATGTCTGTCTACTAATACAACTACAACTACTTCCAATGAGAGCATGTGTAACAAGGTGAGGTTACCGACAACAACCAATGCCCAGCGACGATCCGCTCACTACGGTCTCCGCCAGGGGAGTTGTAGAGGAGATGCCTGTGCGCCAATCAGCATCCGTGATTGATCGAGCAAGGGAAGTTGAGGGGCAAAGTATCTAACTTATACATTGCCGCCCACCTTGATATACATGCATGTGTATCAACTAAATAAAGCTCAAAGGAATTATGTTATATAAATATGTACAATAAGATTTACAAGGACGTAAGTTCAGTTTATATGTGAGCAATTTCATTTTATTAAATTCAATTCAATTCATTTTTTTCTTAACTAATAACAGTTAATTACATGTTGACGGGGCCCGAAATTACCCAACCAAACGAGGTATATTGCGCTGTAGGCAGACCAGGCTGTTGAATTATTCTCGGCTTAATGATTTTATAATAAATTTCTGGACCCAATACCATCGCTACTGGACCCGAACAATCAAACGATGGGTCCGCGAGTTCCAGACCAACGAAGGCTTCGCGTACTGATGATGAAATGGTCATCGGTGGTGTTACACCGCAAGTAATGTTTGCTACGCTGGCAGTAACAAATTGCCTTTGACCCGGGTCAAAACGGGAGGTAATCATAAAGTCGGCGTACGACATATGATTGACTTTGGTGGTGGGCCATCGAAGGTCATTTATTAGAGACGCACACACCTGACTGACTGGGCAGCAGGGGTCTAATAAAGCCCTAACTGGAACGGTAGAGTTAGGCAGACATATATTCACACGTAAGGTAGGGCTCAAGGACAATACACGACTTATTGGTAGTACGGAAGTTGGTAATATGTGAGGTGGTGGTGTGGGAACGATACCTCGGGGAACTAACCATCTCGCCGAATTTTGTGTCCGGTTGGAGCTGTCCTCTTGGTGCTCATGCAAAATGGTGTGGTGCTTTTTCCCGCAATAATTACACCGTTTGGGAACCGGACAGAACTTTGAAACATGATCAAGACGCAGACAATTGTAACAATAACGATGACGGACGACCATACGCACACGTTTTTCCACAGTCATTTTTCTAAACACAAAGCATTTGTGTAATGGATGATGATGGGAACACAACCGACACTGAAACAACGCTCTTGACGACGACGATGCCATACGTGAAGGTGCTGAGCTAACCTTTGGCTCAAGGGCTGTTTGAGGTTGAGATGCTAGGGTTGTTTCAGCATTTGGGGGAGCTATCATCTGAGGATCAATCGGTTGAGTGGGTTGAACCTGGGGATCTGTAGGTTTAGGGGTTTGAGTGGTGTCCGCAGTTTGAGGAACAGTCGCGGTAAACGCCTCCTTATTTGCCCTCAACTCCGCTTCTACTTCTCGATCAGACATCATATCCTCGTCATAGTCGGACAAACAGACCTCAGGGAAAAGTTCTTGTTGGGATGCCATAACTAACACACAAAACGAAAGAGGACAACACGAAAGAGAGAGCAAACGACAGATATAAATTGGTAATACGACTAACTGGACGATTGGTCGCCTAACAATACTCTAAGAAGTTCGGACGTCTACAACGCGAACCTTACTATCATTACCAGGATGCGTCTCGAATAACTAAACAAACTCTTTCTTTAAACCTAGTGGAAAACTGATGCGTCAATGCCTTACGTTTTCTATACCGATTGACTAAACTCAATGGCGATTCTTCAACAAGGGGGCAGAGCAGGAAGGGGGGCACCTATAAGAAAGTTTGCGTTGAAGCGAATTTTCATTCAATAAAAATGGACTCATAACAGTAATTTGCGTTTGGGAACCTCCTCAAGTTCCCCAAAACGCAGAATGGTTTTATTGGGGCTGTCTTCCTCACTACAGCTCAAAGTAGTCGTAAAGACCTGCAAGGGTGAGGAGGGAATTGGACCCGAGAGGATCCAGCCAAAGACGGTATTTTGCGCCAATAGAGAACCTAATATATTTTGTTGTACCCCAGGCAACAATATTTGCGGATATAAGTCTGCACCCAACAACATATCTACTGAACGACAGTCAAAAATGTTTGGGTCAGCCAACTGCAGATTTGGCAGAGAACGAACTAAAGAAGGGTCAACAGAAAACGATGGAAGTTTGCTAGAAATCTTGGGGAGAACAAAAGCATTGGTTTTTAACAAAATTGAAGCACTTAAGCGAGAACTTATACAAATCCGACAGTTTTTCCTGGAGGTAGCGGAAGACGAACCATTTACACCAGAAATGGTTGCAAGAGTGGATCGAGACGATAACTTCAATCTATTTTGAAGGTGCTCAGTTATAAAACTAGCCTCAGACGCAGGGTCAATGAGGGCTCGAACTGGATAAGAGTTTCCCTCGTGAACAATATTTACCATGGCGGTACTGAGAAGGACTCGCGAATTATGCGATGTATGAAACACTTGACGGTTTACTACAGTCGGATTGGCACCAGTGGATGTAGAGGCAACATTATCTAGAATAGAATTGGAAGCAGTTCTTGGGACTCGGACTGTGGGCGTCACATTTGAGGAGGAACTATTTGTAGGTGTCGAACGATTAGGTTTATGCATAAGCGTATGATGTTTTTCATGGCATACATAGCAGCTATGTGCACTGGGACAATTACTAACAGAATGACCTCTTGACAAACAATTGAAACACAAGCCATACTTTTTTACAACAGTAATTTTTTGATCGAAAGACATCTTTTTGAAACGATGACAAGAGTAGAGCGCATGATTTTGATTAGGGCATACAACACAACGATGTTTTGGATAAGATTTTACTGTATCAGGAGAAGTTTTCGCCACATGTACCTTAACGTTGCGTTTGTTTGGGGATTTTGATGAATCTATACCTTTTATGTCCCGCAAACAGGCAAGCGTCTGAATTCTCTCCGTAAGGAACGAATCGAGCTGAGCCCATGACGATAAGGAAGACTTATCTGTGAGACTCTGTTCCCAGAGTGTCACCGTAAGTTTTGGCAGACGCTGAATACAAATAAAAACTAAAATGGGATCCCAATGATCCGTGACAATGTCATAGACTGACATGGCAGATAAACAACCGTTAATGCCCCTTTGTAAAGTCTTAAGACCTGAACTCGTTTCATTAGCTAATGATGGAAGATCGAACAGAATTTTTAAATGACTATTGACTAGAATTCTTTTGTTGTCATAAGCATCCTTAAGAGCCTTCCAAGCCAGAACAAAACTTTTATGCGTGAGTGGAAACTTCGACACAATTTCCCTAGCCTCACCTTGAGTTTTCTTAATTAAATGACATAACCTCTCAATATCAGTTAGTCGGGAATTATTTATAAACATGGCAGAAAATAGATCCCGGAACGTGGGCCACGACAAAAAATCTCCGTGGAAATCATCTATATCGCACGGCGGTAAATTAAGATTATGCATGGTGTCGGAACCACAAGGCGGTAAACTCCAATTCGAAACTGAGATATCAGAAGTACTCTGAATATCTGGATAAGCCATATTGGATAAAGGCGGCAAACTATTATTCAGTACATTGTTTGGATTGGTAGTACCTGACTGTGAAGTATTCGACCTATTGCATGACCGCGCCACAGAAACCTGATTTTGGACATTCTGGGGGGTACTAACACGAATTTCAGATGGTGTGGAAGGAGGTGTTTTCGCAGACCTTAGTTTCTGCAACATTTCGGTTATTTCCGATAAACATTCAACGAAGTTTTCCCTGGTGGACTGATATTTTTCATCAGCAGAAGCAATTCCGTCTGAGGTAGTACCCTCAACGGTTATCAAATAATCGAGATACTTTTCGTAAGTATCCTTGACCTTATACCACAAGTCCTGAAGTTCGGTGTTTCGAATTTCTAAATTGAAAACCGTGTGAGTTTCTGCCTTAATCAATTTAAAAGCAGCGGCAAATTTAACAACATTATCAGATGCCCGAATAAATTGAGTTAGTGGAGTGACCGACATGGTTTCAGAATTCGATTTCAACAAATACTATGAAAATATTCAAATAAAGTGAAGCAAATGAAGCAAAGTCTTATTAGAAACACCCAAATAAAGGTATAAGCAAATAAAGTTTCAAAAGAAAAGGCGAAATATTTGAAAAATCCCAAATCAAAACTAATTCGACGGAGAAAAGATTGAAAAACTTCCAAAAATTTACCAAAGAAATAGCAAAATATATCAGGAAATGCCAATAAAAGAGTATATAAATATCCAAATAATAATCAAAATATATTTAAATTGGCGATATTTATCAAAAATTCTGAAAAAGTTCGAAAAATAAGGAAAAATTATAAATTGTCGGTGTGTGCCGAGTGTAGGGTGCACGTAGTTCCAAATGACAAATATTGATATGTACACGCGTACTAATAATTTCTTTAAAATGAGCAAAACTTTTAAGAAAATTTCTAAAATATCGATATTTTCCTTGCACAAGAGCACAATAAAAAGTACATATAATATGCCGAATGTAGGGTGACAAAAATTAAAAAAGTCCAAAAACACTTCTTTATCAACAATTATCAAAAACAAAATAAAAATTATTTTTCAAAATTTTATTTTTTATAATTCACAATTTTTTCTACTTGAACCCACTGTGCAGTGGTGAATAACGAATACCGCACAAAGAAGAATAAAACACAAGCAGTGTTTGATGGTCGAACGGTGACGGGGGTGGGTTAACTACCACACTACGAGCTGACCAACGACAATGATCGCAACGGATATCGCACAAAAGAAAATAAAACACAAGCAGCGTCAGCAGAGCGCTCAGTGTGTGTGGGTAAGCAACTGCCTCGTTACAAACTAACCAACGACGACGAACCAACAGTGAGAGTTGGAGAAATAAATAAGTTGTTGTTATAGTTGTTGGTTAGTAGACTGACGCTAGAAAAAGGCGCTTGGAATTTTAGGGATTATTGTTATTGCAATGACAAGACAAACAGACCAACGAAAATGACCAAACAGTGTGTGTTGGGGCGAAGTACGGGGGGATTTAGCAAGTATTGGTATGTTTGTATGTTAATTAGAAAAAGCGGTACTTGCAATGTGGTGATTTTATTCTCGTTGAGAGTAATACCGAATTGGTGAGATGTAAAAGAGATCACTCGACAATGCAGAAATGTGTGGAGAATATTGCAATAACCGAAAACAAAATTATGCACACTACAGCGGCAGGTTATTTTATCAACAGAAATATATTTCTTTTTGATAAATTCGAATTATTAAACACAAATTAACCGGGAAATTCGATTATTTCGCAATAAAATGGAAAATAATGCGAATACGTCTCGATTTGAAGGAATCTTTAATAGATTTTTCAGCAAAATAAAATTGTTGTGGACTGTAAATTTAAAGATATCGCAAATTAGGGTAAAACAAAGGCGACCAGTACCGCGAAGCAAACAAAAACTAACACTTTTCACTTTTTTTCAAAATAAATAGCACTCTAAGCTCACAATAACAAATTTCACTGAACTTACGTACCTTTTTTGATGTTGATGATGATGAATAGGATGATGATGTTGATGCGGTGGTGCGATTTATGAGGGGGGATGTGTGCTGTTGAGTTGATTCCTTTGTAAAAGAGATAACAAAAACAGCAATTAATAGTCAGGCAAACTTCTCAACTTGGCAAATCCGGCTCGAAGGACCAAAATGTTTATGTAGAGTAATGGGGGAAAAGAAACAATAAGAAATAAAGCAAACAAATAGAATTAATTTCTTTTCTTGCAAAATTTGCTGGTTTATTGAATTGCTTTTGATGTGTTTTCGACAATAAGTATTACCTCTTTTCCATATGGATTGTGGCGACAGTGGCCGTGTTGGGTATTCGTTCAAAGACTAAAGACAAGTGAACGCAGAGGTTCTAGGTGATCGCAGAGGATCCCATGTCTGTCTACTAATACAACTACAACTACTTCCAATGAGAGCATGTGTAACAAGGTGAGGTTACCGACAACAACCAATGCCCAGCGACGATCCGCTCACTACGGTCTCCGCCAGGGGAGTTGTAGAGGAGATGCCTGTGCGCCAATCAGCATCCGTGATTGATCGAGCAAGGGAAGTTGAGGGGCAAAGTATCTAACTTATACATCGCCCATACAAAACTCGCAAGCTACGGGCAACAATTTGAGTACTTCGACTCATGCTTCCCGCGAAAATCATTCGCAGATACCAACTCCGCTTTCATCTATTGTGAGAAATAATAGTGCCAGTTTTAGGGCTACAGAGGAAGTTTCTCATTTGGATTGTGTCCATAACCTTGCTCTACCGCCGTGCGATACGGACATATTTGAAGGTGATCTCCACCCATGGCCAACATTTAGAGATTTGTTTACGGCTATATATATTGTTAATGGTCGTCTTACCGACGTTGAAAAACTTTGTCATCTGGTTAGAAAGACTTCTGGTGAAGCTCGCGAGATTGTATAGAAGTTCCCCTTAATTAATCGTAGTTTCGAGCTCGCGTGGAAGGCTCTAGTTGAAACTTATGATAACCCTCGGCTTCTGGTTCATAACCAATTAAAAGTTTTGTTTGATATTCCCGTTCTCTATAGTGAGACTAGTTCGGGATTAAAGTCGATCCAACGTGGTATCAATGGATGCCTGTCTTCGACGTCCGTGTATGATGTCAATACGGAAAATTGGGATCCGATATTAGTATTTTAGTATCTCCAGAGATTGCCAAAAATTACTCAGACTCTTTGGGAGCAGAGTGTTAAGGATAAATCTTCTCTTTCGTCCTGGAAGGACTTGGATGCCTTCCTCACTGAGCGCATACGTACTCTCATGTGCCTCCATGATATGCGTGCTACAGATCAGTCTAAGCGGTCAAATAATAGTAAAGTTCAAGCGCATCATTCAAATATCAGAATGCCAGAGCCACCGCGTTCTCCCCGCGCTTCGAAAAGTTCAAATTGTTTAATTTGTCAAAATCAGCGTCATAAATTGTACGACTGTCCTCGCTTTAAGAGTTTCACACCCGCTGATCGATACAAAGTAATGAAACGTCATCATCTTTGCATCAACTGTCTTAGGAACGATCATGAAGTTAAGAATTGTGATAGCAAACGTCGGTGTTCGAAGTGTAACAAGTCCCACCATACGTTGTTGCATCGGGATGATATTACTTCTAGTAATTCAAATCGAACTTCCACCGTTACTAGCAATGCCCCCCGAAATTCGAGTGCTACGCCTTCGACTGTCCCCCCTAATTCAAAAAATTGCGCGCCAGGCACATCCGCCGGTTGCTTGCCGCGACAAGTATTTCACGCCGCGCAGAACAAGGCTGTACTCTTAGGTACCGCAATTGTGAATATTGTTCATCTAGGTGTTTCATTTCCTGCCAGGGCGTTAATAGATCCTGCTTCCGAGTCCTCTTTCATTTCAGAGAGACTCCAAACTCGTTTGAAGCTCCCTGCGCGTTCTACGAATGCTGTACTTTCGGGAGTTAGTTGTTCACTCTCGGCCACTGCTAATAAAGCTTGTCGTATACAAATTAGCAGTCCTTTCGACCCTTCGCTGAAATTGGAAACCAACGTTTTAGTTTTGCGTGCCATTTCTGGAAATCTTCCCTCGTTTGTGGTTAATTCCGACTTAAGGTCACAAATTCCCGATCTTCGCTTGGCAGATGTTAACCTTTTTGAATCTCGTCCCGTCGATCTGCTGTTAGGTGCTGATCTTTATCCAAAAATATTGTTAGATGGTAGTCGTCCCATTTTGTCTGGAGCATTGCTTGCTCAAAATACTGTATTTGGTTGGCTTGTTACGGGTCCTATCCCAGCCACACAAGTTCGAACATTCGCCACTACTGTCGATGTAGCAGAGGAAGACAAAATACAACATACCCTTTTGCGATTTTGGGAAATCGAAGAGCCTCCTAAACGCAAAATATTATCTCCATCGGACCGTTTTTGTGAGGAGAATTACGCCCGGACTAATCGTAGGGACTCAGAGGGTAGGTATATAGTTACGCTGCCACTTAAATCTGAGATTAGCGCTATCGGGTATTTGGGAGAGTCTCGCGCGAACGTCCTCAAACAATATTATCGGAATGAGAATTCTTTATTGAAAAAGCCTGAATTAAAACTAGTTTACGACCAGGTTTTATCGGAATATTTGGAACTTGACCACATGAGGCCGGTACCCGCAAATACTTCTATTGATGACCTTTCGTGTTATCTACCACATCACCCCGTCATAAACCTAGCAAAACAGACCACGAAACTTAGAGTAGTGTTTAATGCCTCAAATAAAACTTCGAATGGGCAGAGTCTTAACGACATATTGCACGTAGGTCCAACGTTACAACAAGATTTAGTTCTTTTGATCCTCCGTTGGCGTATCTTCAAATTCGTGTTTAACTCGGACATTACTCAAATGTATAGGCAAGTTCGTGTAGATTCAAAGCATTCGCCCCTTCAGAGAATTTTGTATCGTAATTCAACAACAAAACAGGTCCTAGACTACGAACTACAGACAGTGACGTTCGGTGTAAATTGTGCACCATATTTAGCGATTAGAACGCTTCTTCAATTGGCCGATGATACTGAGTCAGAGTTTCCCCTCGCGGCGCATATATTGCGAAAATGTATGTACGTTGATGACGTTTTGGCAGGAGCTCGCGACATCGAGACTGCATTGGCAGCTAGGGACCAGTTGATTAGGGCACTATCGTCGGCAAAGTTCGAGCTGCGAAAATGGACAGCGAATAATAGAGCTATTTTGGATCGCTTCCCCCTGAGCATTTGGTAGATGCTCAGCTTTTATCGTTTGTAGAAGCTAGTAGTTCTAGGTGGAATGTAGTTATTAGGTGGAATGCGCGTTTAGATTGTTTTTTCTTCGAAGTGAGTCCTATTGTCAATAAACACTTCACTAAAAGGGAAGTTCTTTCGGCAATCGCGAAATTGTTTGACCCTGTCGGTTGGTTGGCCCCTGTGATTGTTAGGGGGAAAATGATAATACAGAAGATTTGGCTGGACAACATTGGTTGGGATGATCAACTTCTGGCAGCTACTGAGGCTGAATGGAGAAGTTTTGTCGAAACATACCCGCATGTTAACTCGATTAGGATACCTAGATGGGTTTAATATGTTCCAGGATTTTCTGTTGAGCTTCATGTCTTTTCCGATGCCTCGGAAAAGGCATACGCGGGGGTAGTATATATACGTGTCGAGTCCCCCGATGGAAAAATCGTCGTTAATTTGCTGTCGTGCAAAACGAAAGTTGCCCCTTTGAAATCAATTTCGCTTCCTCGCTTGGAACTTTGTGGAGCAGTTTTAGCATCAGACCTATTGAAAACTATTGTGCGGGAAATAGATCTAGAATTTAATCAAATTTATTGTTGGACAGATTCGACTATAGTTCTTGCCTGGTTGAAGAGGACTCCCTCTACTTGGACGACCTTTGTAGCCAATAGGGTGTGTCGAATCCAAGAAAATGTTGGCAATTATAATTGGTACCATGTTAAATCTGAAGATAACCCCGCTGATTTAGGAAGTCGTGGATTGTCTCCGATAGAATTGTCCGCCTCCCCCCTGTGGTGGAACGGCCCTAGTTGGCTAGGTAAAACTAAATCGAAATGGTCTATTCGTGATCTGGCTCCGATTAGTACTGAAATGGAAATGCGCCCCGTTAAATGTCACTTTGCTTTCCTTCCGCCGACATTTAAAGAGATTTTGGAAGATTTTTCTTGTTTGCGTAGAGCTTTTCACTTCATTGTATACGCGTTTCGATTTATTCGTCAAACACATCCCCGGTATAGAAACCATTACTACTATCCCACTAGACGCATTTCCTCGGCAGAGATTATTGACGCACGTAATTATTGTGCAATTACGGCTCAAAAATTATATTTCGTCAGCGATTATAAGAATCTGTTAGATAAGAAGGCGTTAGATAGTAAGAGTTTGTTGGCTCCTCTCAATCCTTTCCTAGATGACAATGGTGTCATGCGAATGAATGGTAGACTGGTAAATTCGCCCACACTTGCACCTTCGGAACGTAGTCCTATAATTGTCCCCTATAGGAGTGCCTTTGCTCTACGGTTGGGCTATGTATGTGTCTTTGTATGTTTCTCTACAAAGGCAATTCATTTGGAAGCAGTGTCCGATTTGTCGACTGCTAATTTTTTGGCTGCGTTACATAGATTTATTGCTCGACGTGGTTGTCCCCATTCCATTTTTTCGGATAATGGAACAAATTTTGTTGGAGCATCGCGTGAACTTCAAAGAAATGTTAAAGATTTCCTCCAAAAAAGCGCTAACTCCGCCTCGTCGTCTTTATCAGACCAGGGACAAACATGGCATTTTATACCTGCTGGTGCCCCTCACATGGGAGGGTTATGGGAAGCTGGAGTCAAGAGCTTCAAGTTACATTTTCGGAAACAATCTCGAAATTTAAAATTCACGTTTGAAGAATTAGCAACGGCATTGGCTAGGATCGAAGCTTGTCTTAATTCCCAGCCGTTGTGTCCAATGTCGGATAATCCAGGAGAAATCGTTGCATTGACGCCAGGTCACTTCTTGATTGGTGCCCCTTTGTTAGCCCCGCCTGAACCTCTCATCACAGAGCAACCATTAAGTCTAATTAATCGGTTTAGGAAAGTTCAGGCCCTTGCCCACCAGTTTAGTTTAAGGTGGAAAGATGAATATCTCAAGCAGTTGCATATGAGATATAAGTGGAAATTTCCCCAAAGAGAAATGGCGATTGACGATCTAGTCGTTGTTCGTCATGATCAGCTTCCTCCAACGTCGTGGAAATTAGGGCGTATAGAAAATGTTTTTCCGGGCACCGACGGTCATGTTAGAGTCGCGGACGTTCGAACGGAAAACGG